AGTGTACTCAAATTGATATACATTTTACCCCATGCTGGTACTTCTCGTGATTACTCCGTAAATTCTTAATACAAAATACTCGCTGTAGTAGTATTCTAGAATAGACTTGTTTGATTCAATCAAATACTACTAGAACTTTTTTGTTATGTCAAAAATAAAACTGCAGTAATAGATTCAAATATTTTCGTGGAACGACTGTAATATTATGATAATAATTAATGAAAAATAAAATAATTCAAATTCTATGTGTTTATATTGCGATGATGGTTTTTTTCTCTCGAAGATTTCATTTACTTTTTGTTGTATCATAAATAAGGAGCAGTTACACTACGCTAGAATGTTGTCTTGTGAGAGTGTGATATGATTATTAATAGTCTTTATTGGATAGTATTGATTATATCTTTGATTTTAGCTAGAGATGCTTCTAGAGTACATTTATTTATTTTGACATGATTTTAGTAAAAATATTTAATATTTTTTTTCATGATAATCAATCTAGTCTAGTATTCTACATATTATATTTAATCAATATAAATAATAAAAAAAAACACAGTTATAAAAAATGAACGACTTTTAGGGTTCACAAAAAGAATGATTATTATTAAATATGTCCTGTCATCTCCAGGACAACACTTGGTCGTTGTACATCTACCATTGGATTAAATCCAAATGTCATTAAATAATCACCAGATAAAGAGTTTTGAAAAATGATCGTCGAATTATCAGTACCTGGATAAATATTAATCTCTTGAATTGTATACATTCTCACCGGATCAAGACCATTTAATCGAATAACCCTATTACTACCAGCTCGATAACGATTATTAATCAAATATGTAAACCAAAGTGCTTTGTCTTGATTTTCATTAACAAACATTAGTGATGCAATATCATGGTCTTGTCTATATGGAGATACAAGTCGAAATAGATCACCATGCCAAATAATATCCTTTAAACGTGCATAATTATTAAGTACTTGTTGACTGAATATAAGTTCATTTTCATCAAGTTTGCTAACAACAATATCATATCCTAATTTACCCATCATAGCTATATCTGTTCGAAATTTTAATGATTGTTTACCCCAATCAGTAACATGATTACACATTGTAATAGCTGGAAAAAAGAATGAATAACTCCATTGAATGAATATACGTTCTAATCCATCAGTATTATCACTTGGCCAAAATTCAGTAAAATATTGCAAAATACCATAATCAATTCGTCCACCACCACCTGAACATAACATAATTGATACAGAAGGATATTTTTTTCGAAGACGATCTAAAACACTATATAAACCATGAACATAATCAACATATAAATGAGATTGATGAGAATTTGTTGTAGAATAAGCATTATAGATGACAGCATTACAATCCCATTTAATATAGGCTAATTTCGGATGTTCAGTAAATAATCGATCAACAACGTCATAAACAAAATCTTGAACTGCTTGATTAGACATATCAAGTACAAGTTGATTACGAAAATAGTATTCGGATCGATTCGGTAATTTAATAATCCAATCAGGATGATTTTCATAGAGTTCACTCTTAGGATTTACCATTTCCGGTTCTATCCAAATACCAAATTTAATACCTATTGTTTCAGCTTCACTTATCAAATAACCAATACCATGTGGCAATTTTTTAACATTTTCTTGCCAATCACCTAAACCAGCACTATCATTATTTCTAGGATATTTATTACCAAACCAACCATCATCAAGAAGAAATAAATCGACACCTAATTTTTTACTATCTTTAATTAATGTAACTAATTTTTGTTCATCAAAATCAAAAAGTGTTGTTTCCCAATTGTTAAGTAAAGTTAATCGATTACCTTCACCTTGTGGTATACGATATTTTCTTGCCCATCGATGCCAATTTCGACTGATTAGACCTAAACCTTGGCAAGAATAAGTAAAAAGAAAACTAGGTGTGATAAATTCTTTGTCTGGAATTAAAACATATTCTGATGCATACGGATTGATACCAGCAATAAGTCGTAAATTACGAAGTGAATCAATTTCGAATTGAATTTGATAATTACCTGACCATGCTAATGTACCGGCAAATACTTCACCATAATTCTCATCATCATGATTTAAAGGTTGATGTAATGATAAAACAAATGATGGTGATTGAAATAGATCAGCTCGTGTTCCTAATTTCGTATCTAATATTTTAATACCTGCACTTAACTGAATTTCTTCCGGATTCATTTCTCGTGCCCAATCACCATGAAAATGTGTTAAATAATATTTATCAGTTGAACTAAAATATAGATTAGCTGAACTGTATTTTTGTAAACGTACGGTATTCGATTCTGTATGTTTAATACTTGTCCATTGTTCAATAATATTTTCTTTATAATATGCTTTGTAATAAAGAATAACTTCAAATGGATATACAGGATCTTTCAAATGAATGGTTGTTAATAATATTCCACGAGATTCATCAATTGTTTCTTGCTGATGAGAAATATATTTTAATTCTAATGATGGATTTCCATCAGCATGAACTACTTGTATAGCAGGTTCGAGTAAATTACGTGTACCACTTGATGTATAAGCAGAACTGTATAAACCAGTATAATCACCATTCAATTGTTTAGCATCAAAACTTGGAATTGATGAATATTCTTCTCTATTACGAAATCGTTTTCCAACATAAATTACTAATGGATCACGATTTTGATTTATCCGAATGACCAGTGCTGTATATTCAGTTTCAACTGGTATATGAATCGGATCAATATGGTTCCCTAAGAAAAATTCATAGCAATGAATTCTTTATTATATTTTCATCTCTCATAAACTTTGTCTTTATCAATATTTGAACTGATCAAAAGGTACGTCTTCTCTTGTTTTTAACTCACATATACTACTTAATTTATGCATAAATATTTTTCGACACAGCATAGGGGTAGAATGATATGCTATGATACTTTACATTAACGAATAAGCAATGAATGAATTATATTTGTTTGTTTTATGCAGATGCTCAGCTTCTAAATTATTTGACCTTCATTTACTAAATAGGTAAAAATGCCACATTGAAAAGAGATTAACAAGAATATTTGTCAACTTATTTGTTTATTTCTATAGGCTAGATGCGTACCTTAAAGTTTTTAAGGAAAGAAATAATTTTTATAATGACCTAACGGTTGTTTTGAATTATTCGATGATCAGATCAATAATCGCTGATGGTGACAGTGGGAAAATTGCCCTAACATTCCTGTTATAAATTTGATGAATACGAGATTCTATATTAGCCAATTGAAATCTCTAAGGTGACATTCGTGGTTGTTTTCGATTAAGACGCATTAGAATATATTTAATACATACAAATTGTTCTTTTTGAAGTACTAAAATATAGTAATACTCGAGTCATATATAAAATCGCTATGTGATAGTTTATCATATTGCAAAACGTTTTCTAGTTACATCAAACTGAACGAGAAAAAACGCTAAACTTAGTTACCACACATCGTTCAATAGTTGACTATGATTGTAAAATTTGTTTTATAAAATAAGAATTATATTTATTATTATTCCAGATAAGGATAAATTTAAGAGAATCATGATTGGATCATTGTTAACGTGCAATAAAGATATTGAAACGAAGGGTGGCAGGATACGATGGTTGCAGAAACAGAACAATTATATTATTTTCTAATTTTTTTTTTTTCTATGAATTTTACCAATTTTCTACTGTTCAAAAATATTACTCATGAAAGTAAAATCAGTACAGTTTTATAGGATTATAATTATTAAAAATCTATAAATTTGCTCGTATCATATGATATGATAATATATCTTATGTCACTCAAATGTTTATGAAAGATAACTAACATATAAATGAAAAAATTTTGCAAATGTTTATAATTAAACAAGCTTATATGCATTAAATTAATGAATTTAAAAGACTAGAAAATTCGATTGTTTTTCTAGTTTTTTTTTTTATTATATAACGCGACTAAATCTTGTAAAATCTATAATCAAACTTTAATTATGTTTATCAAAATATTGAATAAACCTAGAAAGTATTGATGTCTTGATTAAAATACAAAAACAAAGAATATATTTTGTTCAAACCAGAGATGGACAAAGTCGCACCGCGCCTCCCCGCGCCGTTGCTCACGCCTACGCTACACTAGTCTGAGCTTCGATGAGCGCATGCTTAGAGCATCCCTGTATTCGGTGGAGTTTGAGAAACTGATTGGTAGAGCAAAGAGAAAGAGAGATGTACGTAGCGCCTAGGCGCGAGCAGTGGCGCGGGGAGGCGCGGTGCGATTTTGTCCATCTCTGGTTCAAACACTGTATTTGAAAACTAATAAGATGCATTTCGATAAAAATTAATTAATACAGACATTATTATGATGATTTTTTTCTTCAATATAATGTACTCAATAGCGGCGTAACCAGAGTTTTGGCGATGGTAGGGCTCAGCAACGCTTAAATATCCAGTGGTAGGGCTCAGGTTACTGAGGTCTGTGGGATGGTAGGGCTTGTGAAAGGATTCAGCTGACGATGCTAACACCTGTGGTAGGGCTGATCCCCCTGGCCCTACCTTGGTTACGCCACTAGTACTCAATCTTCTATATGAGATCAATAATTGATTAAGATTATTCGAAGTTCTTTTATATTTCATATGTTAACTTTTCAATATTGTCTATAGATGCCGTTAGTAAACGTTGATTATATTTTCCCACAGCTTCCTTGTGAACTGATCGGTCAAAATTTTTTTGCCTTTCCTGTGTTTGACAATCAGTCTGACTGACTTATTTCTTCTGTATTGTAAACAAACAATAAGCAACAAAAAAAAAAAAAAAAAAAAAAGGAAAAAAGAAAAGAAAAGGATGATCCATCTTGTCGTGAGAATTTTCGGTGTATTTACGCATTAGTGTACGTGAGTGCGTGTGTATATATATGTGAATGGATTGTTGTTCTCATTAAATATTATTCTATTAATAAAAAAAAAAACAACAAAATTATGCTGGAAAATATCAACGATGATGTTGAATCTCGTTTAAACGAACTTGAACATCTATTATTTAATTCTTCCATAAAAGATCAAACTGTTCTTGGTGTTGAAGCTTTACTTGATGCATTTATTGTACTTTATGATGAATGTTGTAATTCAACATTACGAAGAGAAAAAACTATAGCTGAATTTATAGAATTTGGTTAGTAAATATTGATTTAATAAAAGTTAAAAAGGAAACACTAAAACCGCAATATTGTTTTTTTTTTTGTAGCTAAATCATTTGTATCACGTGTTAAACGATGTCGATTAAATAGAAATGATTTCGAAACAATTAAAATTATTGGTCGTGGAGCTTTTGGAGAAGGTAAAAATAATTTTTGTTTTTTTGGTTTCTTAAATTCTAATCTATATTTTAGTTGCTGTTGTAAAACTAAAAAATACTGATCGTGTATTTGCAATGAAAACATTAAACAAATGGGAAATGTTAAAACGAGCTGATACAGCTTGTTTTCGTGAAGAACGTGATGTACTTGTCTTTGGTGATCCACATTGGTTAACTAAATTACATTATGCATTTCAAGATGGAGAAAATTTGGTAAAAAGAATAAAATTCATATATTCTTTTTGTAATGCTTTGCTTCTTTTTTTAGTATTTTATTATGGATTATTATTTTGGTGGTGATTTACTTACATTATTATCAAAATTTGATGATCATTTTTCTGAAGAAATGACTAGATTTTATGTTGCAGAAATGGTCTTAGCTATTGATTCACTTCATAAACTTGGTTATGTTCATCGGGATATTAAGTTAGAACAAAAAAAAAAAAAGTTTTTTTTTGTTTATTTAATTTATGAATTATTTTTTAGACCTGATAATGTGTTACTTGATGGAGAAGGACATATTCGTTTAGCTGATTTTGGTAAGAAAAATTGAATTAATTTGTTTCATTTTATTAAAATAAATCATTTTAGGTTCATGTTTACGAATGCGATCGGATGGAACAGTACAAAGTAATGTTGCTGTTGGTACACCAGATTATATATCACCTGAAATCTTACGTGCAATGGAAGCTGGTCAAGGTCGTTATGGACCTGAATGTGATTGGTGGAGTTTAGGATGTGCTATGTGGGAAATGTTATTTGGTTTACCACCATTTTATGCTGAAAGTCTTCTTGAAACTTATGGAAAAATAATGATGCATGTACAAAAAGAGGTTTGTTTTGTTTTAATTAGATTAATGAATAATTTTGTAATGTTTTGTTTTAATATAGCTTGCACTTCCATTTCCAAATGATATTGAAGTATCGGATAGTGCAAAAGATTTATTACAACATCTTCTTTGTTCAATTGATATTCGTCTAGGAAAAAATGGTTTAGATGATTTTAAAAATCATCCATTTTTTATTTCAATTGATTGGAAAAATCTTCGACAAGGTATTTTTTATTAAGAAATAAAATGTTAAACATACTTTTTTTTTTGTTATAGCTACAGCTCCATATATTCCTATTGTGAACAGTCCGAGTGATACATCGAATTTTGATGTTGATGATATTGAACCATCAAATAAGGTATATATATATATATTTGAGAGATTTTTATTTGTAATTTATTTATTTTTATTTTGTTTCGTACAGAATGTTAAAAAGGTAATATTTATAGAGAATATTGAATATTATATCTGTTTGTATTTGTGGCTTTTCTTTTTTATGCTTATGAATTTTCTATTCTTAAATTTAATAACTTTTTTTTTTTGTATAGGATGTTGTTCCACCTGTATCACAAGCAGCATTTACTGGACATCATTTACCTTTTATTGGTTTTACTCATTCGGCTAATAAGTAAATAAATAAAAATTTTTAACAACAATATAATTTTTATTTTATTTTTTCTAGTCGTTATTCTGATGGTGCTAAAACAATAACTATACATCCAAATTCAACAATAATTGTTCCAATATCTTCATCTGATATTTGTGATTCAACTAAATCCACAATAAATATTGAATATGAAGAAATAATAAATTCAATGAAACTTCAACATACATCATTACTTGATGAATTAAAACGTTTACGTGAAGTATATGAACAAACAAAAACGGATTCACTTGAACAAATTCATCAAATAAAAATACTTGAAAATTATTATACAAATCAATATGAATTAATTACAAATGAACAAATACAATATTTAATTAAAATATTAAATTTATTTCAAAATCTTCGTGGTTTAAATGAAGAAAATTTAACATCATTAGATGATATTAAAAATCAATTAAATCAACATTTATTATTTTTTTCAACAATTGATAAAACATATTTATTAAATAATCAAAATAATAATCAAAATAATAATGATAAACAATTAATATTAAAACCACAAATAAATAATTTTTCATTATTTTTAACAAAATTTGAACAAAAATTTTATAATTTATTTAATAATAATAATAATAATAATCAAACAATAGAATTAGATGATACAATTGAAAATGATAATGATGATGAATTAGATTTAATAACAAATGATGATTTATTATTAAAAAAATTTTCATTATTTTTAAATGATATATATGATAAAATAAAAATTATTTTACGTGATAAATATGAAATTGATGAAAAATTATTATTTTTAGAAGAAAAACGTTTAACTTATTCACGTTGGGAAACACAAATGTATGATATACTTAAATGGATTAATGAAGAAAAATCAGCTAGATCACATTTAAAAGGTTTAGCTAATAAAATGGCTGAAGAACTTGATCAAATACGTGAAACAACAAGTCCTTTATTAACTATTGGAAGTACATCATCATCATTGACAACAACAGGAACAACACTTTCACATAATACAGTTAGTTAATGGTTTTTTTTTTTTTTTTTGTATTCTTCGAAGCAAAAAAAAACTTAGTCAAGATTTTTTGCACTTCTCTTTCTACTTCATAAAACGAAAGGTCAAGGATTAATCATATATGTTTTTTACTGGCGGGCATAAAGGAAGGCTATCGATCATTGTGTACGTTACTCTAGAAACTAAACAAAAACTTTTTTCGCCAAGTGTAATGAATGAGTGGAAAATCTTTGGAAGTTATGTTAATCTAAAAAACGTCATTTGTATTCGTTCTGTTGATGATTAATAAGAATGAGATTCATTATGTAATGACAATTGACAAAGTTTGTTTTGGCGAGATTAAAGTTAATAAAATTATATCTTGAAATCGAACAGTTAATATTACACAAAATCATCAATAATTTATTTTCACTTGCCATTTTTTTTTTGAACTCGTCATTCAGTAGAAGACTTTAAATATTCTAGAACATTCCAAAGTGTGTTCTGTGGCATTCACATAACTGAAATATATTTATGAATGTTTGAGATAAATGTAGTTTTTCTAATTTTTTCACAAATAAAAACAATGATGCATTAATTTATGATAGTTATTTTTATAATCAATATTTGTGTTTCTGAGCTTTTTCGAGATATAAATATTAGAATAATAATAATTTCAAATTACGAAATATAAAGAAAATTGATCGTCCTTGAAAAAACAAATTGTAGTCTGTTAGAGATTTTTCACTTGATCTATTTCGTATTAGTATAATGAGGGTAAATAACATATATATGAGTTTCATGTTCTATCTTGCACTGAAAAGTTTTTCTTTTACATCTGGAAAAACAAATAAACATACATAAATCTCATTCATTAAAAATATTGGATAATGATCATATGATAAAATTTCATAACAAATTCAAATATTCTTCAATAGATCAATGTTCAATAAAATATACTATTTTAAGTGAAATAAAAGAATAAACTATGCAACTTGAAAAAAAAACAATGAAATTTCTCATACAATCATATGCTATATTAGTATCACCTAGTTTAGGTCAACCTGTATGAGTATAGAGAAAATGAAGTAAAAGTACATATGCAATGTTTCTATTTGTGGCCAATAACTAGACTCGATTATAGACCCCGTCGGGTAGGACCCGGACCCGGACCCGCACGGGTCCGGGTCCAAAAATTTTACTTTGGCCGGGTCCGGGTCCAAAAATTTTATTTTGACCGGGTCCGGGTCCGGGTCTGAAAATTTTGCTTTAACCGGATCCAGGTCTGAAGAAAACTTTGATCCATACAATTTATTTTGAATTTTTTTAAAGTTTTGTTCGTTTTATACAAAGAAGAGATCAAATGTATTTAGAAAATAGATAAAAAACAACAAAATCCTTCTTGACTATACTATCTAAACTGACTTGTCATTGTGTTTGGATCCAAAAAATTTAAGCGACCGGGTCCGGGTCCGGGTCCGGATCCGGGTAGAAAAATTTTAAATGATCGGGTCCGGGTCCGGGTCCGGGTCCGGATCCGGGTAGAAAAATTTTAAATGATCGGGTCCGGGTCCGGGTCCGGGTCCAAAAATTCTGGACCCGACGGGCTCTACTCGATTATGAATTCTCTCACATAGCTATTCATATTATTTTATAAGTTAAATTACAATAATAGATAAAACTATTATAGATATCATGTTGATTAGGACATGAATTTTTCCGATTGAAAATAACCCTTTTTTTTAATAGGCTTGGAAACATGGTCGATCAGTTAAATTAAAACATATGGAAATTCAACAATTACAAACTTCATTACAAAAAGAAATTGATGCTAAACAACGAATACAAGAAGAACTTAAAGAATGTCAAGCTGAAAATATTCTTAAAGCTGAGTATGTCAAAAAAATATTCTTCAATATATATATATTCAATATTTTTTTTTTTTTTTTGTAGAGAAAATCTTCGTTTAAAAGAAGAAATTGAAAAACTTCAAAAACAATTAACTTATGAACAATCAAAACAATTAACTAAATCACCTGTTACACAAAGTGTGTCAGGTAAAATAAATTTGAACAAAAAAAAAAATATCTATTTAAATTAGATGAATTATCAACATTTATGAATAATACTTCAATCGATCGATTTCTTCGAAATGTTACTGCTGGTTTATCGGATTCACCAGCATTAGTAAATAAATTTTATTTCATTTCGATTTTGATTTTGATTTTGATTTATAGTTAAATGATACAAATAATGATTTATCTGTCACATTTGATGATGGAAGTAGTGGTGGTGATGATTCATCACGAACAATGTCTGGATCAATTAATAAAAATCAAACAATACGACCTCTAGTTCCATTACGAGTAATATTTTGTCTTCTCTTTTGAATTACGAGTTCATTCATCCTTCAATATCTACTAAGAATAAGATGGTACAAACTTTTCTTTCTCAAAAATTTGACATTTTTTTACAAATTAAGAAAATCTCAATTCTAGTTCTAATATGCTAAGACGTTTCCTTTCAGAAGAAATATTACAAACAGTCAATGATTTCAGCATTTTCTGTCAAGTTTCTATCCTCAAAAACAATTAGAAATTCTCATAAGGAGATAAGTATCCAGTTTCAATGTGATATTTATATGACACTCAACACATTAGTTACGAGAATTGATGAAGGAGAAATATTGGGCTTGATTTCTTTTTAGTAATCAAGCTAAATAAAACATTAATTCGAACACTTTCGAAAGGGTAAACAGGAACTCTTTGAGAGTTATAGGATCTTATTGTCGACATTAAACAACAATAATTCGAACATATTTTCCTAATTAATACTTAAAACTCTAATAAACAAATGAATTGGAATTTTTCAGAATGAATGATACGAAAGAAATGAAAATCGATATAAACTATATCTGAGTAGTAGATTTGATTAAATAGTATATCTATATTATTTAGGGAAAGTAGATTTGTTTTCTTTTTTTTTTTAGAATGAATTACATGATTTTATGATAGCAAATTTCCATGTAACAGCTATGTGTGATGATTGTCAAAATGCATTGATTGGTATTGTTCGACAAGGTTTTGTTTGTCAACGTAAGAAAACGAAAAAATCTATAATTTTTCTTCTTAATATAAAATTAAATTTTAGGTTGTAAATTAATTTGTCATCCGGATTGTATGGAAAAAATTTCAACATCATGTCGACCATCAATTAAAGATCGAAGTATAAAAAGTTTTTGTTTTTTTTCAAAGATCTTTTATTGTATTTTTTTTTTTTTTAGATCGACCAAGTTTACTTGATCAACATATTGTTCGCGTATGTTTTGATGTGATTGTTTGAAAATTTTAATATATTTTTTTGTTTATAGATTCCAAAAGCAGGTGGTATTAAAAAAGGTTGGAGTAAATATCAATTATTAAATTTACAAACAAAATTATTATTCTACGAATTATCATCTGATAAAGATCAAAAAATAACTTGGCCACAACCAGCATTTATAATTGATCTTACAGATGATGAATTTACTGTTTCATCAGTAACATCATCGGATGCATATCATGCAAATAAAAAAGATGTTTCAAGCATATTTAAAGTTTGTTCTCATTTTCCGGCTTTTTATTTTTTTTAAATTTTTTTTTATTAATTCAGATAAGTGTATTAAAAGTATCATCACCAAAACAATTTCAACATACATTAATTTTAACAAATAATGAATCAGAAAAAAATCAATATGTTAATATGTTATCAGATCTTTCAAGTAAAGTTAAAACACTTAAACAAACTGGTTCTACTGTAAGAAATAGAATATATTTTTTTTTTAATTTATAATAAAAATTTATATTTTAGCGTGGTGCTAATTTTATTGCTAAAGAATTATTTGATACATCGAAATGTTCAAGTTTAAAAGAAACAACAGCTGCTGTTATTCTTGGTACTTAATAACAAAAAAAAAAAAAATTTCATATTATTCACTCTTCCTTTTTGTTTTTGTTAGATCAAGATCGTATAATAGCTTGTGGTGAAGATGGTCTTTATTTACTTGATATTTCAAAAGATAGTACGTTGAATTAAATTTAAATAATAATTTATGAAACACAATGTAAAATGAATCTTGATGAGAACTTACGCTTCATACAGATCAAAGATGTCCATCGCGGCTCAAAATCTGCCGCTGCTGCGCCGCGGCCAAAATCAAACAAAGTTGCCGCGCCGCTCCCGCGACGCGATGGCCTGTTAAAAAAAGCTACCGCGCCGCTGCCGCGCTGGTATTCGAAAAAATGTTTTGATTTTCAAGGCTTTGACTGGTTTGAAATAGAACTGATGCCGCTAATCGATCAGATTCGCTAAGTCTTACAGTATAGCATACATAAACATGCAGATTCTGTGCAAATTCATGAATTTTTGAAATTTTTTCATAAAAAGCTGCCGCGACGGCAAAATAAAAATCTCTCCCGCGTCGCTGCCGCGCCGCCACCGCCACGGCGGCAGCGGCGTGATGGACATCTCTGATACAGATGCTAACTAGAGAGACCATCATAGGTCATGATAGAGATAAAAGAATCTAGACGACAAACTAACCTTATGCACAGTTCTTGAGCTATTCAGGTGAATAATGACTAATCATAAGAGCAAATATTTGTCACAAGGAAGTCAGCATGCTATCTGATGAATGATACGAGACAAAGAATTATTTGTGACTTTGTCCATGGTCATTCTTTGATTGTTGGTTCTCAAATTTAAACACAAAACTCGTTAGCTACGTGCTGAACAATGTAGTCACTCAACTGTAATAGATCAATACGAATTGAAGCGCTAAGTAAAAGAAATGTCTCCGTATTTGGATAGAATAAAGCAAACTCATGGGAATAGCGTTTAATAGTAATCTTTTTTTTTTAGCATCAACAAAATTAAGTGATAAACGAGTTCATCAATTATCTGTAATTTCAAATGGTGAATTATTAATAACATTAGCTGGAAAACAACGTACAATACGTCTTCAATCACTTAAATCTTTAATTGAACATCCATTATCATCATTAGATAATAAAATAATTGAAACAAAAAATTCTACAACATTTGCTATACATTCAATATCATTAATATTATGTGTTGCTATTAAAAATCGTATACTTGTTTATCAATTATTTTCAACACCAAAACCATATCATTATTCATTTATAAGAGAATTTAATATAATACAAAATGTAACATATTTAGAAATATTAACAATTAATATAAATCAAACAGAACAACAAATATTATGGTATGGATATCCATCAACATTTGTTGCACAAAGACTTGATCAACAATGTCCAAGTGTATCATTATTACGAGATGAAGATCCAACATTACAATTTTTTCGAGATAAACCTATTGAAGCATTACGTGTTGTACCTGTTACAAGTAAGTATAAACAGTAAAAAAAAGGAATAAACAATAATTTATATATTACATTAGATAACATTTGCCTTGAAAATAATTGATGTCATCTGTCATCATATAGTAATTTAGAAAGAGGATGACATATAATGATAATAAAATGGATGAGGTCTGAATTTGACAGAATCTGGGTGCATGTTTTCTAATCATGAGATGATTTTACTTAAGATCATAGTAAATTCAATGAAGAAATGATCGTCTTCTCTTCGAATATCTCGATATTTTTGCACTTAATCATTAAGTCTTTTTTTTTCTCTAAAATTCTTTTTAGATTCTTCATCAATTAACGAACTTTTACTCGTATTTCGTGAATTAGGAATTTATGTAAGTTGTTCAACAGGAATGCGAACACGTCATAGAGAATTAATGTGGACAGCATTACCAATATCAACTGCTTTTTCTGATCCATATTTACTTATATATACTGAAAAATCAGTTGATATATATGATGTACCATCAGCAACATGGTTACAATCATTACCATTATCACGAACACGTTCATTAACATCTGATGGTTGTATTTGTTTATCTCATGATTCTGAACTTCTTAATCATCATTCAAAATTACTTTATCTTATACAAAAAACAAATTTAAATCCATTACTTAATGTACCGGAACGTGCATCATCAAAAAGTTTAGCTACACGTGGTGGAAGATTTCGTGTTGGTAGTAGTGTTGTTGGTACAATTAAATCGACAACATCATCATCAATAGCACCTATATCAGGACCAAAAGATTTTACACATATATCACATTTAGGTAAAGGTGAAGGTTTACAAATAATATCAGGTTTAAAACAAGTTAGTCCAACAAGTACACTTTCATCAATAAATCATAGTAATAGTGGTTCAACATTAAATACAAATAATCGACGTTCACTTATATCTGGTCCACAAAATTTTGTTCATTTAACGTATGTTTAATTATTTTTATATATATCTTTGATGAATACATTTCAAAAGCGTGAAATATTCTTTTTGGTGTGAATAGAATCATGAGAAAGTGTAAGATGCGCTCATTAGAGATTTACAGCATTTTATATCGATGTGCATTAGAGCGCGGGATAAACTAATCTATCAGTATAAATTAATTAAATTCTAAATATAGACAACACTCAAAAGTTTGTTGAGGGAAATAATGTTATGCTCGGAATCCTACTGAAACATTGAATTAAAGTGTACAGCAGATATAAAAATTGTTATTAGTTTTGATTAATTTATTTATATGACATTTTTTAAGATTTTCCCCTACAGTCAAAATTTGTGAGTCTCACATATTGCCTTCCTATGGGACAATACTAACAAGTTTTTAATTATATATATTTTTTTTTCTTCTTAAGACATATTGGTCCATCGGATATTTCAACATTTGCATCAGATTTATCAACAACAAATACAACAACAAATAAAGCTGTTATATCAGCACCAATGAATTTTCGTCATCAAGTACATATTGGACATAATGATGAAATTGATCAATTAAATAATACTAATAATTCGAGAAAAGGCGTTATATATGAACAACAAACGAACAGTGTCCCACTTAAACAACAACAACAACAACAGCAAGTGACTAGTAGTGGTAATTCAACATTATCATCTCAATCTCTTTCATTTAAAGATGAAGATGATAGTGATCAACCTCTTGAATGATGATCTTATATTGAGAATGATAGAGACAAGAGGATTACTATGTATTCTTTTTTTTTTCTCTTGTCGGTCAGATTCATTCATTGCGAACTAATGAACTTCTTTTTTTTTTCTTCTTCATCTCTCTTTTTTTTTTTGTATTATCTTATTTGGCGTGCAATTTTTTACTTCCTTTTTTTTTTTTGCTGTGTGGTGACCCATTTTTTGGTGCCTTTTTCTATTTCTTTGTGCACACATATATGATACTGAATTTCTTTTTTTTTCCGTTGCACCTGTTATCATCATTATTATTATTATTATTATTGCTGAATCTGTAGTGAGTGCATGAACGAGTGTATGAGAAAAGCCGTTATTGACTTTTTCTTTTTTTTTTTTGTTCTTACTTTTGTCAAGGAATTATCTTCTGCTTAATATGTGCTTGTTATCGATTCAATCATTAATGCTAAATGTACAGACATTTTGAAATTTATATAGTTTCATTAAAAGTTAAAAAAATCATGAATATTCTTGAAATTTAGTTAGTTAATCAAAAGATTATTTCAGAATGTCATTATTATTTAATATCTATACAAGACCACCTATAGAAATGCCAAGAATAAAAACGTGCTGATCATATCAAATTTTATGATAGATAGACGACAGGCAAATGTCAAGGTCGATTGTGTAAAGTTTTGATAAAAAGTTGTGTTGTTAAGACGTAATAATCATTATTATGAGATTTGTTTTTTGTATAAACAATAACTAGAAAATTTTAATGATGTTTTAAATTTTTCAAAAAGATATTCATCATAAATTTAATTTCAAGGTGTCGGAAATAGAAAAAATTAAAGCGGAATTCCTTTATATGGTTAGATAGAGCGTAACGAGTTGAACAAGTATATATTTGTTTTCAATGAGTTTCTAGAGAAAAATTGCAGCTTTTTTTGTCTATGACTTAATTTTTTTTCAAAAGAAAAAAAGGCCAATGTTCGATACGTGCCAAACTGGCAATTTTTTCTTCTCTTTAAATTTAAAAACTGTTTGTTTCACACTCAGTGTGAAAAAAACAACTGACTCTAGAAAAGTCATTTATAAATAATTTTCCTAGAGTCAGTTTCTTATTCTGAATCTAATACAAACAGTTTTGAAATTTGAAAGATAGAAAAAACATATTGACAATATACCGGTTATCGAAAATCGACGTTTTTTTTTTCGAGGAAAAGTAAGTCATCGGAAAAAAACAAAGATTTTTTTTTTACCCTAATACTTATTTCAATAAAATTAAAACACATATAGACTTGATAAACTCGTCACACTCTATGTAACCGTATAAAACTATTTTTACATTTCTAGCACGTTATATATAAAGTTGTGACATGAGATTCTATCAATAATGGCAATTGGCTTTTACATGAATTAGTCTTGTTGAAGAAATAAATGATTCTAATCATTGTAAAACTAGACTTTTGAACGATTGTTTTGACAATAAAAATATAGAAAATTTTTCTTTTTTTTCTTAACGAATAAACGATGACTGCAGGATTTATCCAAAAGAATCATACGATTTTTAGTAGAAGTGATTTATCCTCTCTGACAAATTCAAGAAAATGTACTTTCTTGATAGAATAGCAAATATCATTTATGCTTATTTATGTTATGGCAAGTACATTATTCACAGAGAAAAAGTTTTCAAACATTGTTACCTTAAGAATCATTAATCTAAATGACACAAGCAGATATTCATCAGTTTTATTTTCTTATCTTAAATAGAATGTCAAGTTCAAATAAGGTTTTTTCTCAGGAGATATCAAATATTCTTAAGAAGAAAATACTTTATCCATTTCTACATTCTCAAAGAGATGTGAAAATATGACTTAAGCAGATATTTTTCATTTTTCCATTTTTTTAACATAAATGAATTAAAGCATTTCTTTTTAAAAATAACGATTTTTTGCTTGAATTAAATGATGATTATATGTTTATATTCTTACTTTGCACTTCCTCTTGGAATGTATTAACTTCATGTGAAATGAAGCATTTGTTCATTAACCTGTCATATATCTTCCTTGAATGATTCTATTGTCTATTGCTGTTGAAATTTTTTATCATCAGGATTTACATGTTGTTAACAAAAGTGCATGTTAAACAGATATTTTCATGTCCATTCACAATAAGACATTAACAAATCTTAATGTAAACGAAAATATTAAATTTTTCATTTGATTGATAAATTTAACGTTGAAAATACTATTTTTCTTAAATCTAGAGAATTGCATCGCAATCCAAAAAGTTTTTTTTAACCTAATCAAAGATTTATGAGTCATTTCATTATTTCAATTTATTAAAAAAATTTCTCAAAGTTTGGATCCGACAAGTCCAAGTGTGAAGACAGTTTTATTTTTGACTACAAAAAAAAACCTATTATCTATTTATAGGCATACAGTTTGATACAGCAAAAGTTTCCTTACAATATACACAGAGCGAATGATGTTATAACTTATAATTCTTTGATCGAGACTAGAAAAACTTTCTAAATTCGGTACAACTGTCTATGTATGATAAATAGAATATCGAAAGACGTATTTTATAAGAACAATAAATAGTAAGAATTTATTTCACCTAAATTAACAATGAATAATATTGAAAATATAACTTTTTTATTTAATTTACAAAAAAAAAAAAAAAAAAATTTATAATTAAATAAATATAAATTTAATTATTGTATTTTTTTTTAAAATTAAAGACCAATTGTTTCTTGTAATAATGGTGTTGTTACTGATGGTGTTTTTGGATATTGTTGTCCATAATTAGAAAAATGAAATGGTGAATCACATAATCTTATAACATTTGTTGAAGAATTAAATGATGTTGAATGTATTGGTGAAGATGTTGTTTCAGAATTTAATATAAAATTATTTCGTAAATTATCATTTATAATTATATTTCGTTGTTGATTATTATCATTTTCTTTTATTAATCTTTGATTATTTGTTATATATATATGATTTTCGTTGTATTTTTTTCTTGTTTGTTGTAATATTTGTTCATTTGATATTGTTCGACAACAATATATATTTAAACATTCAATACGAAATAATTGTCCAAATACACAAAATGGTAAAAAATTTGTTGCTGCATTTATAATTGCAATTAAATTTGCAATAGTATGAAAACGTCTTATACTTGAACTTGATGATGAATCAAAAAAAATTTTTATTGTAAATTCAAATGACCATAATATCCAAATAACTATTGTTGGACTTCGACATATAAGTAATGTTAATACCATAGCAATAACAATAATTGTTACTGAATATTTTGATCGAAATGAACGTTGATGATGATTTGTTTTAATTGTATAATGTTTTTTTAATAGTTTTGTACGTGATTTAACATGATGTAATGTACGAATTAATTGTAAATTAAAACAAACAATTGTTATTGTTGGTAATATATAAACAAATATAGCATTAAAAAAACAATAAGCCCAACGATAAATTCTTCGTTTAGCTAAATCACTATAACCTTTTGTAATAAGTATACTTTTTCTTTGAATATCTATATCTAATAATGATAAAGATTCATTATCTAAATCAATTATTGGATAAAAATTTGGTGTTTGAACAACTTCATATTCAAAAAATAATGGAATTGAATAAATAAATGCTATAATAAATAATGTTCGTGATATAAATTTTGCTCGATATAATGTACAAAATGTTTTACCATACATTGGATAACAAATTAATAACCAACGATCCATTGTTACTGCAGTTGATATCCATAATGATAATACACGACTACCAGCAGCTAATCCACCAAATATTATTTCAATATATCGTAAAAATATCATTATTGATGTATGTCGACAAGTTTTAACAATAAATTCAATCATTTGTATCATCATTATTGATATACATGTAATCATATCTGATAAAGATAAACCAGTTAAATAAACAAATGTTGATAATTGACTACTTAAACGATGTAAAACAATAACCGACATTAAATTACTAATTGAACCAAATATAGCAAATATAAAACTTGCAATTGATATCCAATAAGTAACAGGATCTGACGGTGATCTATTAATATTATGCCACATATCATCGATTTCATCTTGAGCCAACGTTAAATTATCTGATGATGATAAATTACTCATCTAAAATTCAAAATATTTTTCATCGTTTCAATTCTATAATAAAAAAAAAAAAACAAAAACATGCTACATATCTAGACAATTAGAAATGATCTTATTTTGCTATAAGTACATATTGTTTTTTTTTTCTTAATCATCTTAGATCATAAAGAGAAAAGTCATGTTCTAAGTTTATGCGATCATATATTCGGTCATGTGGTTTTAACCGTTGATCATATCAGGATATTAAACCTTCAGAATTACATAATTATATTACAATACTCGAAGCAAAATTCTGATCGCATCACTAAAGGTATTCATAGAATATTTCATTAATAGAACATTCGGTCTTATGTATTATAAGTTATATCTATTATAGATATCATTGGTTAAATGAAAATTTCTCTAGTCAAAAGAGAATTCTCATAATCTTAAAGGGAAGCTCAGTTTGAAATACTAGTCATAAGAAATAGTAGCAACTTAATATTGATAACTTTTTTCTTTGATTCTACAGGCGTAATTTTCTTTTGATGTTTAATATGGAAAAAAAAGAAAAAAAGTATCGTGTATAGTCGTCTTATAGTGTTACTTCCTTTAGTTATGCACTCATGCATAAACAAAATTACTTTCTATTTGACAAAGAGGAAAGACGTAGTTTCATGTTGATTGCATCCACTTTCTTACTAAATATGGATTAAAAAAAAAAGCTTAAGCTTATGCAAAAAAAAAGAAAAAAACTGTAAGACTCATTTAGAGTCAGACTGGCCCTATGTTAAAATATTATGATTTTTTTAGTATGTGAAAAAAGAAAAAAACGTCAAGGAGTTGAAAATGAAGAATAATAAAATTTTTGATTAGAAATGTTATAGATATTTAACATTTCTAA